ATTGGCGCGTCTACAAGTTTACAACGGGCAGCCCGCATATTGAATAATTGGCATTGCATTTTCACCGATTAGCACGAATACTTTCCCTTTTTTGTCGCGGATTGTTTCTGGGCACTCGATCCGTCAGATTTTCAACGCGTCACAATCTTCTTCCGGACCGGAAGATCGCGAATCGCATTATTGCCCTCGCAAAGTTCACATTCGCATTCTCCAGTCATTTCGGCAGATACCCCCGCGCGCTCGTCCGTCTCAGGCCCATGTGAAGAACAGATTTTGCCTAAAATTTCCGCCGCTAAATATGCACAAACTATCAGTCTGTCTCAGTTTCCCGCTCCGTTCAGCGTCTCTCCCAGCCAGCCCATCACGCTACAACGCCATGGCTCGCGCTATTCTCTCCGTCGGCATCGCGATCTTCCTCTCTGCAATCCTGGCGCTCTCTTCCGCCCAAGGTACGGCTCGTATACTCACGATCGTGTCATCGCGAAACCTAAGCCGATGCCGTGTGGTTGAATCCCTGGCGCTTAGTCATTGCGCCCTCACTCGTGTTGCGTTATTTGCTCTTCACTTACGCCTCCACTGCAGCCCACGCGCTCCCACACACAACACGTAGTAATGATTTCCAAATCACCCGTTTTTTCCACATTCAGCCTGTGGAACCTCAAAAGCAGCTCTGAATCTTGACTGAAAATACCCGTCTTGGCGCTTGTGCATGTTAGCGGCACTTTGACTCCGCCATGCAGATGTCCTTCTCCCTGCATCGATCGCGCCATTAATTTCATCACGGCTCCCCTCAATCCCCTCAATTCTCCGCCAATCCCCCTATTCGTCACTCAATCCCTCTTGCCTCCGAGGCACACCACCCTCAGCCTCACTCCCCTTAATCTGGTCACTCGTCCCCACCCCATCTCTCTCTTTCCGGGCCTCCTCTGCTTAACATTCTCTCTGCCCCTCACTCGTCTCACTCCCCTTAACATTCTCGTGCCAGATGTCCCTTCCAGTTCAAGATAGACCACCTCACCTCTCTGTTCACATTCTCTTGGTCTGCCTTGCTCCCTTCCCTTGCCCCTCTCAGCCTTAAAATGGTTCACCAGGGACCGCGTGTGATTCAGAAGCTCTATGGAACCTACTGAAGGAAGGATACTTCTGTTGATGGTGGTTTTAGCTAGTGATGATCAGCCTAGCATAATTAACATCTACGACTTTGGTTTCGAGGTAGAGTTTTATTGTGTGCGTTCGTGTCACATGGGTTGGATGGGTGCTTAGAAGAGGGAACACCTGGAGATCGTGTGCTTGATTGCCTATTGTTGTACATTCTGGATAACTGCTGTTTTTTTGTATTTTCTGATTCTATGCCTGGAGAACTGTGTGTGTATTTCTGCTTTTATATTTTCATGACATTCCTTCTGTTGCCACCTAATATTGACTTGGGATTGGCGAGAGAAGTGCAAAATCACTAGATACCAAAACATTACTCAAGCTGAGAAATAATTTTCCTGTCAAAAACTAGAGCCAGTGGCTCAAAGGCTTGGCACTTCCCCCGAGTCTGGCCACTCTTATGCATCTCGCCTGCAAGTACTTGAAAGGTTTCTAAGAAAATACAGCTCAGAATGCAACTTCCGCCTGTAACGAATATTCGTGTACTGCAATTCAACCTTTGCGCTTTCTACCACCATTTGCGGCATCCACTGGGACTACTACGGACGCGTTGGGTCGAACCGCACGGAACGCATTCTTCGATTGTGGTTTAGGAATCGGTCACAAGCCTACAAGTTTTTACCGGGCAGCTCGGACAATGAATTATTGCCCTTCCATCGTCATCGTTAGCATTAAAAGTTTCCATTCTTGTTGCGGATCTATTCTGGGCCCTCGATTCCTCAGAATTTCAACGCGTCACATTCTGCCTTTCCGGACCGGGCAGATCTCGAACTCCATTATTGCCCGTGAATTATTTTCGAAATTGCATAATTCACATTCCACTTCAGCAGGCCAACCCAGAGTCACTTTCGGCGGATCGTCCTCGTCGGCCCATGCCAACCTATTTTGCCTATAAATCCCGCCGCTAAACATGCACTAACCATCAGTCTCAGCTCAGTTCTCAATCTCTCTCCCAGCTATCCCATACGCTACAACGCCATCATGGCTCGCCACATTCTCTCCGTCAGCCTCGCGCTCTTCCTCGCTGCAATCCTGGCGCTCGCTTTCGCCCAAGGTACGGCCCATCCGCATCGCGAAATCTAAGCTTAGGTCCTGTGATTGGCCGCGCTTATGAAAAGCGCGCTCACCCTGTGTTGCATTAATCTCTCCTCGATTTGCCTCCATTGAAGCCCACGCGCTCCCACACAAGTAGTTCAATGTGATTGTCATATCCCTCGTTTTTCCCACATGCAACGCGTTCAAGAGCGGATTTGGTTATTGCCAAAAGATAACCCATCTTGGCACTTGCAGAAAGTGAACCTCGCGCTGCCTGACTCATGACTTCTTCCGCTCTCTCTCTGCCCCTCACAACCTGCCCCCCACCAGCAACGAGCGCGGCGGAAGGCGGCGTCGTAACAGCAGAAAACGTGGCGAGTGCCGCCCAGCCTGACGAAGTGCCGCGCGTCCAGCGTCACCGCAAGCTCCCCTCGGATGGTAAGATGACTCATCGGATCAGAGGCAGTCTTTTTGCACGGACAAACTAAGCGTAGTTGAACTTTGAGTCGATTAAAAAAGTCAAATTCAGCGCCACCGCATGCTCATTCCGGCGGTATTCGATGGTTAGATGGCCGTGGGACTCAGTTTAGGGTGACTTCAAGTCTACGTGTACGGATGAAAGCCGACTGGAATTCCCAGAGGAGGCACGGCAGAGAACCTGATCCGTTCATCCTACGTTTGGCCGTGGTACGTCTACTTCAGTTCAGGCCAAACGTAGGATGAACGGATCAGGTTCTCTGCCGTGCCTCCTCTGGGAACTCCAGTCGGCTTTCAGAGTGCTCTTTTTTCTCTCCAAATGTCTCATTTCTTACGCCTTTCCCGAATTTCCTATCCTGCCTGCTGCCTCACCGGGCGGTCCCAATTATTCCAGGTTCCTCATGCCAAGCCACTATCGCACAGAGAATGCAAACCTGCAATGCATACTACAACATGGGTGACATGGACAATTATCGGCGTTGCGTGGACGCCATCAACGCGTGGGGTCCGGGATGCTCTGGGCAGGCGCCAGGGGTACGTGTATAGGTCGACTCAGAAGTCAACATGGGTGAAATGGACATGTATAGGCAGTGCGTGGAGTCTATCAACGCGTGGGGTCGGGGCTGCTCTGGCCAGGCGCCAGGGGTACGTCACGTACTTGGTGGACGGGCCATGGCAGCACTGTGGTTGTCAGCACAGCACAGCACAGCACAACCATGGCAGCACTGTGGTTCTCAGCACAACACGGCACAGCACAGCACAGCCATGGCATCACTGTGGTTGTCAGCACAACACGGCACAACACAGCACAGCCATGGCAGCACTGTGGTTGTCAGCACAACACGGCACAGCACAGCACAGCCATGGCAGCACCGTGGTTGTCATGTGCATCCCTTTCCTTGTTTAGTTCTATTGCTCTTACATGCCATGTGATCCGGTGTGCCACTCTCACATGCCAGATTTCCCTGCATTGTCTTTCTCACATGGCTCATCACATGCCATATGTCCCTTCCAGGTCAAGATAGACCACCTCACCTCCGTGTGAACATTCTGTTGGTCTGCCTTGCTCCCTTCCCTTGCCCCTCTCAGCCATAAACTTGTGCCTTGAAGGCCGACAAATCCAGGGCCTCAACTGTAATTCAGAGGTCCATGGAACCTACTCAAGATGGTGCTTTTAGTTGCTAGTGTTTTCTTGTGTGTTTTCGTGTCACATGATGTTTTCTCCCACGGGGTGAGTTGGTGCTTAGAATAGGGAACGCCTGGAGTTTGGGTGCTTGATCTGAATGCGCCATAATGGTTGTATGTGCACCTGCTGCTTTGTCAATATAAACACATCTAGGAAACACACCAGCTCGTGACATCCGTAGCGTAATCTCATGTCCTAAGCTGTTCATGGGCTAAGTTTGTTTTATGTTGACCACAACTCTTCAACCCATAGGCATGCGCCCTTTGGCGAATTCGAATACCCCCAACTTGAGCTGCTGATAAATATTCTCTTTCTCACACGCCCCTTGTGGAAATTTAGCATCATATTCTATCTGCTGCTTTGTTGAACGGTATTCTGATTAGACATCCCAACCCAGCATTATTGGTGCAAGGTGTGTGGAAGTGGAACCGTAGCCTGGTCATGCATTTGCCGTATTATTGGCTTTGTATTTTTATTTCATGATAATCTTCATAAAACTTTGAGGATAAATTTATCAGTATCTGAAGAGGGCTAGCATTTTCTAGAAAGGCCATTACTAGAGCTTGGGCTACACTTTCTTGACCTTGGTTCGCTTGGCGTTGATTGTTTTTAAGATTGTTATTCCAGTATATCCTTAAGGATTTCAGGGCTCAAAATGGTCTAAAAAATTACAACCACCTGTCCTTACATGTTGTAAAATAATCTCTGCACTCATAAGTGCCTAAGATTGCTACTCATTTACTGTATTACAATAGCTGTTCTTCTGATGTTATTATTTCTACCGCAGACTGCGGCAGCCAATAGGCATTCTCGGGACGCGATAGAGGTCCTGAAAAAAATCGATGGTGGCGGATTGATTCTGGGCTCTTGATCATCCATCTATTCGACTTTCAACGCGTCACAACTTATTTTTTCCAGACCGGGCAGCTCGCAAAGTGCATTATTACTTTTGAATTATCAACGAAATTCTATAATTCACTCTCTTTGGCTTTGGTGCGCGGCTCTCAATTCGTTTCAAGGGACCCTGACGGATCCGGGTTGCGACGAGCTTCACCCTGCCACCGCAGTGTGCCAACCACGAAATCGCCCCTTAGCAGCGCCTCGACGCCACCAGGCAGCGCGATCTCGCCTCAGCAGCGCCAGACGCCTTAGGCAGCGCGAAATCGCCCCTTAGCAGCGCCTCGACGCCACCAGGCAGCGCGATCTCGCCTCAGCAGCGCCAGACGCCTTAGGCAGCGCGAAATCGCCCCTTAGCAGCGCCTCGACGCCACCAGGCAGCGCGATCTCGCCTCAGCAGCGCCAGACGCCTTAGGCAGCGCGAAATCGCCCCTTAGCAGCGCCTCGACGCCACCAGGCAGCGCGATCTCGCCTCAGCAGCGCCAGACGCCTTAGGCAGCGCGAAATCGCCCCTTAGCAGCGCCTCGACGCCACCAGGCAGCGCGATCTCGCCTCAGCAGCGCCAGACGCCTTAGGCAGCGCGAAATCGCCCCTTAGCAGCGCCTCGACGCCACCAGGCAGCGCGATCTCGCCTCAGCAGCGCCAGACGCCTTAGGCGTCGCGAAATCGCCCCTTAGCAGCGCCTCGACGCCACCAGGCAGCGCGATCTCGCCTCAGCAGCGCCAGACGCCTTAGGCAGCGCGAAATCGCCCCTTAGCAGCGCCTCGACGCCACCAGGCAGCGCGATCTCGCCTCAGCAGCGCCAGACGCCTTAGGCAGCGCGAAATCGCCCCTTAGCAGCGCCTCGACGCCACCAGGCAGCGCGATCTCGCCTCAGCAGCGCCAGACGCCTTAGGCAGCGTGAAATCGCCCCTTAGCAGCGCCTCGACGCCACCAGGCAGCGCGATCTCGCCTCAGCAGGGCGGAATCGCCGCAGGAACCACCAGGTACCACCTGAAACGCCACCATGGAAGACGATCCAGGCCCCGGGGACCCCGGGGTCTGGGCGAGAGACAGCGTAGACAATGGCATGACGGAAGCCATCGGGGGCAAAGGGGGGACAAGCACGGCAGCAGTCAGGGGGTCGCTCCGCCTAGAGGCTGGCCACAAAAGACGGGGGGGGGCCCGAGGGTGCGCCCCAGAGCCCACGCATTTGTCGCCTCCACCACGAAGACATTCTGTGCCTCTTTGGCAAATCACCCAAGAGGCGGTGTTTTGAAGCGAACCGCCCGATTTCAGCAATTACAGGTGGACAATCCCCCAAGAACCCCCCCAGCAACCGGGCTGGCCAGAGCGGCGTCTCAGAGCCTTCGGCCGTCAACGAAGAGGGGGGAGAAGCAGTAGGCGACAGGAGTCTGGCCGCCGAAGTGGCATCAGAGGTTGCGAGGGCAGCTTGGGAAGAGCATCGTAGGCGCTTGCAACAACAGCACAACACTCGCAGGAGTGGCCTACCTGAGAGAATAACGCGGCACAGCGCGTGCTCGACCGACGTCGACTCTCCCCTAGTCGTGCCACGTCTCGCACGGCGGCAGGAACGGAGGCGTCGGAGGGTGGCAGGAAGAGACAGGCAGAGGGAGCCGCCGGTGGGGGGCCGGTGGGACCTGCAGGCGGGCGGACAGGAGGGGCGCCGGGAAAGAGGCCAACAGCCGCCGGAGGGGACGAGGCAGCAGCGGCTGCAGAGCGGAGGGCAGCAGCAGCTGCAGAGCGGAGGGCAGCAGCAACTGCAGAGCGGAGGGCAGCAGCAGCTGCAGAGTGGAGGGCAGCAGCAGCTGCAGAACGTAGTGCGGCAGCAACTGCTGCAGAGTGGAGGGCAGCAGCAGCTGCAGAGCGGAGGGCAGCAGCAGCTGCAGAGCGGAGGGCAGCAGCAACTGCAGAGCGGAGGGCAGCAGCAGCTGCAGAGCGGAGGGCAGCAGCAGCTGCAGAGCGGAGGGCAGCAGCAGCTGCAGAGCGGAGGGCAGCAGCCCAATCAGAGCGGAGGACAGCGGCAGTCGCGATGCGGAAGGCAGCAGCAGCTGCAGAGCGGAGGGCAGCAGCAGCTGCAGAACGTAGGGCAGCAGCAACTGCTGCAGAGCGGAGGGCAGCAGCAGCTGCAGAGCGGAGGGCAGCAGCAGCTGCAGAGCGGAGGGCAGCAGCAACTGCAGAGCGGAGGGCAGCAGCAGCTGCAGAGCGGAGGGCAGCAGCAGCTGCAGAGCGGAGGGCAGCAGCAACTGCAGAGCGGAGGGCAGCAGGAGCTGCAGAGCGGAGGGCAGCAGCAGCTGCAGAGCGGAGGGCAGCAGCCCAATCAGAGCGGAGGGCAGCAGCAGTCGCGATGCGGAAGGCAGCAGCAGCTGCAGAGCGGAGGGCAGCAGCAGCTGCAGAGCGGAGGGCAGCAGCAGCTGCAGAGCGGAGGGCAGCAGCAACTGCAGAGCGGAGGGCAGCAGCAGCTGCAGAGTGGAGGGCAGCAGCAGCTGCAGAACGTAGGGCAGCAGCAACTGCTGCAGAGCGGAGGGCAGCATGAGCTGCAGGGCGGAGGGCAGCAGCAGCTGCAGAGCGGAGGGCAGCAGCAGCTGCAGAGCGGAGGGCAGCAGCAACTGCAGAGCGGAGGGCAGCAGCAGCTGCAGAGCGGAGGGCAGCAGCAGCTGCAGAGCGGAGGGCAGCAGCAACTGCAGAGCGGAGGGCAGCAGCAGCTGCAGAGCGGAGGGCAGCAGCAGCTGCAGAGCGGAGGGCAGCAGCCCAATCAGAGCGGAGGACAGCGGCAGTCGCGATGCGGAAGGCAGCAGCAGCTGCAGAGCGGAGGGCAGCAGCAGCTGCAGAGCAGGGCACAGCAGGAGTTGCAGAGGGGAGGGCAGCAGGAGCTGCAGAGTGGAGGGCAGCAGGAGCTGCAGAGTGGAGGGCATCAGGAGCTGCAGAGTGGAGGGCAGCAGGAGTCATTGTGGGTGAGCGATGTGGAGATGGTGGACGAGGCAGGCACCGACGAGCTGGAATCAAGCCCCATGGAGGGGGAGAATGCCAACCCCGACTCCTCGGACCAAGCAGGAAGGCCCCGAGTGCGGGGGCGGGGCCGGAGGCGACGGGCAACCAAACTGCTACAGCTGCAGAGGGGAGGGCAGCAGCAGCTGCAGAGCGGAGGGCAGCAGCAGCTGCAGCTGCAGAGCGGAGGGCAGCAGCAGCTGCAGAGCGGAGGGCAGCAGCAGCTGCAGAGCGGAGGGCAGCAAGAGCTGCCGAGTGGAGGGCAGTGGCAGCTGCAGAGAGGAGAGCAGCAGGTGCTGCAGAGTGGAGGGCAGCAGGAGCTGCAGAGCGGAAGACAAGAGCAGCTGCAGAGCGGAGGGCAGCGGGGGCTGCAAAGCGGAGGGCAGCAGCAGCTGCAGAGCGGAGGGCAGCAGCAGCTGCAAAGAGGAGAGCAGCAGGTGCTGCAGAGTGGAGGGCAGCAGGAGCTGCAGAGCCGAGAGCAGCAAGAGCTGCGGAGTGGAGGGCAGCGGCAGCTGCAGAGAGGAGAGCAGCAGGTGCTGCAGAGTGGAGGGCAGCAGGAGCTGCAGAGCGGAGGGCAGCGGCAGCTGCAGAGCGGAGGGCAGCGGGGGCTGCAGAGCGGAGGGCAGCAGCAGCTGCAGATCCGGGAGCAGCAGGAGCTGCCGAGTGGAGGGCAGCGGCAGCCGCAAAGAGAAGAGCAGCAGGTGCTGCAGAGTGGAGGGCAGCAGGAGCTGCAGAGCCGAGAGCAGCAAGAGCTGCGGAGTGGAGAGCAGCAGGAGCTATCCCGTGGAGGGCAGCGGGAGCTGCAGAGTGGGGGGCAACAGACGCTGCAGGGTGGAGGGCAGCAGGAGCTGCAGAGCGGAGGGCAGCAAGACCCACTGGGGGAGTTGGATGTGGAGATGGAGGACGAGGCATACACTGACGAGCTGGAAGCAAGCCCCATGGAGGGGGAGAATGCCAACCCCGACTCCTCGGACCAAGCGGAAAGGCCCCGAGTGCGGGGGCGGGGCCGGAGGCGACGGGCAAC